CTAATTAATGCTGTTTTCAATTGGAAAACAAATCTAAATAAAGTCGTGGCATGACTGCTGAATTTTTAAAAAAAAAATAATAAGCTAGATTTCAAAATTATATTTTTTCAACTCTTTCTGCTAATTACTAAAACCTAATACAGAGTAATAACAAAAATTTAAAAACAATACCTAGCAAGAAATACTATTATATAGCATAAAAAATAAAGCTCATAATTAAGTTAAGTATATTAGTATTATACTAATACCTCTAGTTTATAAGTAGCCTACTAGAGCAAAGCTACTAATTTTAGCAAGTCTTAGTATTTTTTGTTTACTTATAGCTGAAGTAAAGACTAACTATAAGCTTTATCAAAACTACTTAGACTGGATTAAGCAGTAATATTATTCTTACTCTCTGGTTAGAGTTTTTACACCTGTCAATCTTTAGTCCTTCTTATAACTCAAAAACTTTGGATAGCTCTTTATATTTACATTATAATCTTTTGCAAAATTTATTTTATAAAAAGTGAGGATTTGGCTACTTCCTATAAAAAGATCAATATTTGTATAACCTATCTATTTTGGGAAAAAATTATGTAAACAAAACAGATGATCTGTTTTGTTTACTAAAGAGATAGTATATATAACAAAGCTAATTACTGATCATAACTAATTTAAATTAATAGTATTAAGAGCAAATTAACTAAAGATATAGAATATAGTATTAGTATTTTATACAATTTTTACGAGTAGAGTAGCATTTAGAAAAAATTTATTTAGCTTTGCTAATAGATTTTTTCTATCTAAACTTTATATTTATTTTTGTTTTTCTCTTTTTTTCTTGTTTTTGAGTCTTTCTTAAGCAAGATTAGTTATGATAAGCAGTTATGATATACTTTTGATATACTTTGTTGAAGTAATTAAGAATTAGGTCTAGAACTTATACTCTTTTATAGAGAGAATAGTTGGATATAGCAGATTATGAATAGGTACTACTTGGTAACTAGACAAGTCACAAACTTGTAAAGTAATAGCTTAGACTAGTAATAAGGATTATATATGTAAAGACTTCCTTATTTTTTAAAATAAAGTTGTGGCATGATTGCTGAATAATAAAAATAAAAAATAATAAGCTAGATTTAAAATTAGCAAATCTTAAATACAAATACTTATTTATCTAATTATTTTATTCATTTTAATTTATTTAGTACTATAGTGAGTATAAAGATTATTTATTAATCAATAGAATTAAATTGTAAACCAAATACTTATTATCTAATATTCTTTATAATTTATTTGATTTAATTTAGTTAGTAAGTATAAATATAATAAGTAGAATAGAGATATTAATGAAAGTGTAAAAGAACTCTACTTAAAATTATTAAATATAACTACATAATTAAATAGATTCTGATAGATTAGTAATATTAAAAAATTGTGAAAAGGAATTTAGCATTATATTTTTTGCAATCTGATTAGATAGTATATATATAAAAACTGTTAGAAATATTAAAAAATGAAAACAAACTAGTATCATTATATTTAAGAAGAAAATTTATAAAGTTTAAAAATTATATAAAATATAGAATAAAGCTTATATTGATTAGTATTTTTACTTTTTCTAATAAAATTACTAGTATTGCTAATTCATCTTTACTAATTTTTATTATATATTATAAGAAATTTATAATGTTTGATATTTTTCATTAGAATAATTTCTTTAATCCTTACTAATATTCTGTTTGTATAATGATAGCTTTAATTTTTTTATATTTCTTTCTTTTGGTACTCAAGTCTATTCTACTATTATAACTCATATCAGCAGATTTTTGATAATAAATAGATACCTTATGTTCATTTTCTTCAACTTCAGTTTCTTCTCAATACTGATAACAGCAATTAACATTATATATTCCAATAGCATAACTTATATTAGATGATTTTTGATAATAAATTAATATCTTATTTTCCAAATTGTAACAATAACTAAGATCACATATTATGAACAACTTGAGTTAAAATTCGAGTTTAAGATGTTTTTTAATAAGTCTATTATAGTAATAATCCATACTACCTTAGAAGTTAAGACTAATTGAATCAAATGCAATAATATATATGTGCTATTCAGTAAATAAACTTGATATATATTAACTTAATAAATCAATGTATGATATATAGAAATTTGAACAGAAAAACTAATATGAAAAATCTATTAGATATATGATATTACGCATCTGATACTTCATTCTTTATAAACTATATACTACATTTCACTACATTTCTAGTATGCTAAACTGTCAAGATTATAGAACTTTTATTGTCGAGATTATAAAACTGTCGAGATTTTTGTATTGTCAGAGTTGTAAGTTTATCAGAATTAGGAATATTAGGATTTCTACTTCAGAATTTTGAAAATATCAGGATTTAGTAGTAAACCCTTTTTGCTTTACTAGCTAGTTTTATAATAATAATTTTATTATGTACTTAATCTATTATGATGATTTTTTTATTAATAAATTAACATTAAAATTCTATCTAAGTACAAAGTGTATTTTTGCGATTTTGAGTTTTTTAATATCTTTACAATATTTTTTAGAACTTTAAATTTTAAATGAATTGATTTTTAACTAAAGCTTTTGATTAGATTTGTAATTTATTTGAAATCATTTCTTTAACGAATAATAATACAGATTGTAAATAAATTAATAATTATCTAAAAAAAAAAAAAATGTTACTTATTTCTTCAAGCACTTTACATAAACTATTTAAACTTGTTCCTTTATAATCATTTTCACAAATTCAATAGAATTGCAATTTGTAGGAATATTTTTTTCGATATCTATGAGATAGCCAGTTCATATCTATAATTAGATTCTTGAGATCTAAAGATCTATTACATCAGCTACATTTTTTGTGAGTGATGCTAGGATTGCTCTATATGTTGGGTCCAAATTTGTGGAATTCAAATTTACTTTAAATCAACTAAGCAACATCACCTAACTTTTCGAATTAAAGATAAGTTACTCATAAAAGAGTATATTGAACTCAAAAACAAAGGTCTAATAAAAAAAATAGTTTAAAATCAAACCTCCGTTTCCTAGTAATTATAAACTGTGATTTATGAAATTCTTTTGATCCATATAAAAATATCAATATTATTTGCTAAAAAATGTATGCTTTAGTATAAAAATATTCATTGTGAATTTGTGATATTAGCATATATAAGAATTCTGTGATTTACTGCAATTTCTCTCAAACAAAATTTTTATTGCCTCTGACGATAAATATTTGTGTAGAAATATGAACATGATTTATTGATTAATAGATACAAAATCGACATGCTTTTATTACTAAAATACACTCCAACTTATAATCAAATTGAATATATAAACACGTTCTAATTATGGAGTATTTAAAGTCACAAATTGCATAATATTTTGTTGCATTTGTTTTTGATGTTTTTTATTATTTTAATGATTTATATTAAATACGATATATAATGACACATGTGGAGTTAGTTCTATTTTCTAGTGTTCACGCCCACGTCCTCATTCACAAGCACCATAACCACATTCATGATCACAGCCAACGTTAATCAAACAAAAAGCGGTTATTAAATTGAAGTATTTTTATAATAACTTAAAATCAAATATTTTATAAACCATTGACATATGTTTTCTTTCGTTTTAGCTTTAGCCTTTGGAGTGTCAACGTATTCAACTGGAGAGATTCCGGCAAAATGTAATATCGAGTCTTATTCCCTCTAATACTCTAGAAATCTAAGTTTACTTGTTAGATTATATATATAAATACAGTATAGTTCCATGTACTATAGTCCCGTTTTAAAGTTCTATTGTGACGGTTTCGTTATTTAATTTCATTAAAAATCTAATAATATCACAAACCTAGCATCCCACTTAAAAAAAATTGTTTTTTTTATTGCGAATTTTAATAGTAAAATATTCCCGACTTATAAATTTATACTATAGAGACACGAAATATTTACACATGATTCTTAAATGTCGCAAAATAGTTTTATAGCCACACTATCTAAATATCATTTACAAGTTACAGAATTGAATTTGCTTTACTAGTGCAAGAGTAATAACGTTATAAAGTGCAAGATTTAAATTAAATAAAATATTATATTATATGTTATATTTAAATTTATATTTAAAATGTCTTATCTCCCGCATTAGTAAAGCAAATTCAATTCTGCAACTTGTAAATGATATTTAGATAGTGTGGCTATAAAACTATTTTGCGACATTTAAGAATCATGTGTAAATATTTCGTGTCTCTATAGTATAAATTTATAAGTCGGGAATATTTTACTATTAAAATTCGCAATAAAAAAAAACCTTTGATTTTTTAATTATATTAATAAAATAAATTTAAAAATGTCTTTAAAACTACACTATTCTAATTTCATTTGCAAGTTACAGAATTAAATTTGCTTTACTAGAGCGGGAGATAAGACGTTTTGAAGATATATCATTCATTTTTTTTATATATGATACTAAATCATTTGATGTGCCAACACCCCATTTTTTTGTCCAATCAGTTACAGAGATTAACCGTCCAATAGGTAATTAGTAAATCTATGACGCAACCAGTAATCGATCGATACTTAGATACGTATAACGACGTTTTACAAAAAAATTCACAAAAAAAATGAAGATATCAGAAGTAAAAAGTACAACACGCGAACAACGTATCACTCCTCACACGCATATAAAAGGACTTGGTCTAAATGAAGAAGGGAGGGCATTTCAAGTTGCGGACGGTTTCGTCGGACAGACGTCAGCAAGAGAGGTATTAATCAGTTATATATTTGCTCGCGTGCCATTTTTTTTTTTGTAGTAGTATATATAATTTTTTTTAAAATGTTAGGCGTGTGGAATTATTGTCGATTTGATTAAATCCAAAAAAATGGCCGGTCGCGCGTTACTTCTAGCTGGCGCTCCCGGAACTGGTAAAACCGCTATTGCTCTCGCGATAGCTCAAGAGCTTGGTTCAAAAGTCCCTTTTTGTCCAATGGTTGGTAGTGAGGTTTATTCTTCTGAAGTCAAGAAAACCGAAGTTTTAATGGAAAACTTTCGAAGAGCAATAGGTAATTTATCAGCTCATACTAAAATCGGTAGATATCACATGATTCCATTATAATTCAGAATTGATTTAGGTTTAAGAATTAAAGAGACTAAAGAAGTATACGAAGGGGAAGTGACTGAACTTTCTCCTGAAGAGATAGAAAATCCTTTGGGTGGTTATGGAAAAACTTTATCGCAAGTGATTATTGGATTAAAAACAGTCAAAGGAACAAAGCAATTAAAACTAGATCCAAGCATTTATGAAAGTATACAGAAGGAGAGAGTTACTGTCGGAGATGTCATATATATTGAAGCCAACACTGGTGCTGTGAAGGTACAAATTACAAATAGCCGTTTATCATAGGTTATTAATATTTTTCATTCTAATTTTATATATTTGCAATATATTATTTATAACTAGCGGGTCGGCAGATCCGATGCTTATGCTACGGAATTTGATCTAGAAGCTGAAGAGTACGTACCTCTACCAAAAGGTGAAGTCCATAAAAAGAAAGAAGTTGTTCAGGATGTTACATTAAATGACTTAGATATTGCGAATGCAAGACCTCAGGCAAGTTGTTATAATATTTTTAAATTATATAAAACATAATTTCATTTTTCTAAATCATATTTTTATTTCAGGGAGGTCAAGACATGATGTCAATGATGGGCCAGTTATTGAAGCCAAAAAAGACAGAAATCACTGATAAGTTACGAAAAGAAATTAATAAAGTGGTTAATAAATATATAGATCAAGGAATTGCCGAATTAGTTCCAGGGGTTTTATTTATTGATGAGGTCATTATTATACAGTATTTTATTATATTATTTCAACAAATATACATTTTCTTTATTTACAGTTTTTTTTTTTTTTTTTTTTTTTAAAAAAAAAGGTACATTTATTAGATATTGAATGTTTTACGTATCTTAACAAGGCTTTGGAATCTACTTTATCACCAATAGTAATTTTTGCTACAAACAGAGGAATGTGTCAAGTCAGGTAACGCAAGAATATTTTTACTGATACTTTTGTCTGGATTTAACTTATATGAAGTTTATTTAGAGGAACAGAAGATATTGTTGCTCCTCATGGAATTCCTGTTGACTTGCTTTATTAGTCGCCATATATACGCGGCCATATTTACCCTTGCCAATTTGTTGCCCAATTTTAAAGTCATTCATAGATAATGTACTAGAAACAGTTCGTCTAATATAAATAAAAAGATTTCATTCAATGTTATTCGCGATAATTCAATTTTCGACGGTTTTTAGGCTTACTGGTTATGGCTACACTTTAAATTTTCTTTATTGACTTTTTGTTCTTGAGAAGAGCTCTATATTAAAAAGAAAAACACATCAACCTCTTTCATAATATGCATTTTCAAATGCACAATAACCATCACATCAAAAGCGAAAACATGAAAAAAAACATCCAAAGACTGTCTAATAATAAATGGCTTAACAAGCAAAATTTTGGGCCAGATTTACAAAAAGGTTTACCATTGTATGAAAGTTTATGATAGTTGATCTTTGCGAACAGTAAACTGTCTTTTATGATAATACTACTGATAATTAGTTTTTTTATAAATTTGTTTCTTTATATAGGGATCACGCAGATATGCGCGTGACGTAATAGATTATTATACTATTGTATCGAACAATAAATAAAAAATTCAATAGAAATAACTAAATAAAAAACATAAATACTGTATATATTTCTCTGACTTCTTAGAGGTTAATGAGGTTATTTTAGTAAAGGAATAATTCTGATAATATTAAAAAAATTAAAGTTTGCATTTTAAAAATAAGAAATAAATCAAATCAATTATTTTTATTCTAATGCCAATACCCCTTGTGTGAAAGCTTGACGAAATTTGTAAACTTTGCTACTCAAAAATGACAATAACTTCCTACAATCTGCATAATTTTAAATTAAACTGGTAAAAATATATAAGACCATATATAGAATTTCCTTGGTTAAAAACTTTCGACAATTCGGATTTTAAATATTATAATACTGTACGAATGTAGGGGTTTGGGTCAAATCCCGACAAACAGAATCCCGACAAACAAAAATCCCGACAAAATTGACCAACACTATGCAAACTCTAACCCTAATGCGGGCTAATCTGTCGGCTCCCTATTCAAGTTTATAACGAATATAAAAAAAGTTATTCAATTATCACCTATATAAATCTGATTGAGGTCGCGTTCTTGATGCATTTTTTGTAAAATATTTTTGAACTTTGAGCGAAGATATCTTAGTAATTACTCGACCAAATTCGATGATTTTTTTTTTTTTTGTTCTAATTCTACGAATATAT